CTCTCTGTAATTGCTAAACTCTGCAATTAATATTCTGTGTAATTTGAGTAAAGTACTTTAACTAGCTTTGATATTCATTTTATATTCTATGAAAGGCGAAACTCATATAGACTTTATCAAAGTATTTTAAGCAAAAGTCTCAATTGATATGATTAATAAATATTGAATATTGAAATAAACCAAATTCAGCTTTATATTTCATTTGAGGATTCTGCAAATAATTATTAAATGTTAAACGAAGAATTAAAATAAATATTCTTTCTGATTATTGCTGCCTAAGCTCAATTGAGCTTTAAAATCGATCCCTACGCTGATTTTCTACATTTTACTTGCACTTTGTACCTTTTGTTAATTGATTTCAATTATTATAGCCGAATGCCTGAACTTTTTAACAAGCCATTCCCGGCACATTGAACCATGCAGCAAGCAAACAAATAAAAAGCTGAAAAATAAAATAAAATAAAATAAAAATGGTTTCAAATAAAATATTCGTGAACTTTTCTCACGAAGCTTTTGTTATGTCATGTCCGAGCTGAGTTCAGAGCCAAAACCCTTTGAAAGTTCAATAACAAAATGCAAAAAGAGGAAAAAAGAGAAATGTATTTTAGCTCGGAATAAAGTTGGGAATAATTGTGAAGGCCCTTGTGGAGTGAGGGATCAGGGAGGCGGCTAGACGAGACGCGCACAGTCGAGACTTTTTAATGGGCTGGCTACAAACTGCATTCGTTATAGGTTCGAGACTTGGGTATTGCTGGGGTTTTTGACCGATGTTCCACCAAAATTTATTGACGAACAGGGCGGGTATGGCGGGTGGCGGGTAGTTGGAAGACACATTCGTGTCGAACGTTAATTTGATGTCCTTTGCTGCACTGTGTTGCACGCAATGTAAATGCTAATTAAGAGCGTTACATGCCGCTGTATGGGCGTGCCAGCACTAAGTGTGTGTGCGTGTGTGCTTGTGTGTGTGGAGGGGCGTTTTGAATTGTGTTTGCTTCTTAATTGCGTAAACCAAGCATTTGATTAGTATTTGCACAGCAATTGACATTAAACAGTTCAATCAATAAAAAATTCAAACGGAAACGGACTCAAGTGTGAGACAGCCGCAAATATTTAATGTCTTAAGGGCTGTCAAGGATGGTGCCGCACTCTTCTTCTTCGCCGCTTATAACTACAATATTCGTATTAGCACAATCAAAGCTGGGTTGGTCGGCGGCCGGTGGGTTCGTTAGACCCAGCCAGTTAGAAACCTCAATTAGGCTGTCAATCAGCGCGTCGAAGCGCGTCACTCGCTTCCACAATAATAGAGCTATTGATTTTCCGCATGGTAATACCCACATACACATACACATACACTTCCACATCCACACATACATACTTCGTTTCGTACACCTCCCTAATGAGCTTCGGGGCGTGCATTGACATGGGCACGGCCCTGGAACTTCTAATTAGTTGACGGTTTAACATTGTTCGGCGATTTGATTACAAATTTAATGCAAGCATCAACAATATATAGAAATCTAAAATTAATAAACAATTGTAATGGAAGATTGCTATGCTCATATTAATATACATATGTACATACATATGTACATACTTATATTTTCTGCTAAAATTTCCTGATGTTGTGCTCAAAAGGCACTGTTAAAGTATGATTATTGCTTTGACAATTGTAAACATGATTCGAGGCAGTTAGTTCTTCAAGTTGATCAATAGCTTATGAGCTTCTTATAATAAAGTTCCCATATGGGAAAACTAGTCTAATATATTGCCAGAAATATACGGAAATAAATATTTATATAAACTGACAGCTCGTTCTATCTATAGCCAAAAATATGTAGAAAGCAAGTCATTAATTGTTTTGGGTTATCAACTGATTGCTTTAAGCCTTATGGAAAGCATTAATTCAATTCATTTACTTCTATCCAAATTTAACTGCCCAAATATAGCGCATTATTATTTCGACTTGACCTAATCTCCTGCAATTCTCCACAGATCCAGATCTACACAGCTGACTGTAGGTAATGCGTTTCTGAGTGGCTCTCATTTGAAGTGCTTTGCTTGTGCTCGTAAGGCTGGGGCGACGGCAAATAAGCTTGCAGTTTCTTAAATAAATAAACAAGAGAGAAAAATAATACAGAAAAAAGATAATAAAATAACATAAACATATCAGGCATTTGTGCTCAGAAATCACTTGTGTTTGAGGAAATAGGCTTGGTGAGTGGGTAGTATTTTATTGATATTTAATAAAAATATATTTTTAATTAAAAAAAAAAAAGAAAAGTATCTTAAGCATTCAAGCTTTGTTCGTTTTGATTTTACATCTGACTATGATAAATAAAAATTTGCTTCAGTAAGTGCAACTAAAGCAAAAGTAAATTGATTAAAAATAAATAGTAAATAAAGGCATTACAGCTTTTCTTAAAGAGATGGCCAGAGTAAATAGCATATATAAAAAATATGCATTTGCCCAAAGTCAATAATTCATAATAAATTGTCGCAAAGTTGAGAAACAAAGGCTCTTGAAATGCAAGACTCTTAATGCATATCAGATTGCTGCAGACGCACACACACATACACACACATGCACATTTAATTGTCACTCTTACAAGCTCACACACGCACACACACACACTCACAGAGAGAGTAAGCTTTGCTTTGCCAGCTATAAGAAAAACCCAATAATGGGAATGAAGTTGTACTTGTAGCAACATTTGCAGCATCCTTACATGTATGTCTGTGTGTGTGTGTGTGTGTGTGTGGGTGTGTAGGTGGGTGGTCTGGCAGCAGTCGCCCTTTATCGATTAGCGCATGTAACTGTTTCTACCTACGAGTGTGTGCACTTGGCCCTTTAAGTTATATAAGCTAATGGATTGTTGGACATTCAAAGAGAGAGGGAAAGCGGGATACATAGAACGAGAGAGAGAGAGAGTGAGAGAGAGGGGCTCCTTTTTGGCGGCTGCTGTAAATGAAAACAGGAAACGTTCTCGCATTCACTCATTCATTTAACACACAAAAGCCATTAATGCGCTTTGTGTGAGCTTTGTTTTGTTTGTCAACAGCAACATTAGCGTCAAAAAGGGTGGCGGGGTGCAGGGTGCGGGCTGCCCAACTGCCCAGCTTAAAGTCAATTCGATCAATTTTTTAAAGCCTCAAATATTTGCCTAGCATAATTTATGGGATTGCATTGAACTAACTGTGAACTTTCACTCAATATTTCTCGCTTGTTGCTGTGCTACCTCAATATTTTTATTATTGAAAGACTTTTGCCTCAGCTTTTACGTCCCTTTTCTTACCTTCCCCTCCCGGGAAAGTGCTTGCGCCGCTTTCCTTTCGACTGTCTCGACGTCCAGCGCTTGGCAAAAAAGCGAGTCTTGCGGAAAAATCAACATTGCACAAAAGTTTTCCAGCACACCCGCTGCCAGGCAGCCACACACTCAACCACCCAGCAACCACCCACTCCGACCGCCCAGCTCTCTTCTATATCTTCTTTTATTTTTTGTTTTGGCTTAGCGTTGATGATGTATGCACTTTGAAAAGAGTTGAGCAAAGTGGTTTTTCGGGTTTGATGAGCTAACGTCAGCCATCTGCACCACCCACTCGAAATATGAGTGCTACCTCTCTCCGTTTCTCTCTCTCTCTCTCCCTGGATCTGTTTGCATTTCGTTGGCTGTATGATAAAGTTATTAATGGACTTCAATGGCGTTTCAATTATGCAATTTCTGCGATTTGAATTTAAATGATATTTTGATTGTTTACTTTGCGGGCATGGGTTATGGGTTTTCTAAAAACTTTTTTTCAGCTGACTGGGTGATTTGTTTGCCGATATTATAGAATATCTAAGTTTCACTTCCATTGCCATACAAATAAGACTTAATGTAGATTAAATGACAAATGAGATCGAGTGCAAGCAGAAGATGAGAGGACAACATATGTATGTATTTACATACATAAGTTTCAATACATACATGAACATATTTTATATTTCTGATATTTCTATTTAGATTTCTGATATATTATTAATTCGTTAAATATACTGATGATATTTTATAGATCTATGTAGCATATAAGTGTCAGAAGAAGTTACAGGCACACTCAAGTCTTGAAAACGGATAGAAACTTGTTGACATTTGCATGTAGGCTAGGCCAATTGGAGGACCATTTGATCGATCAAATCGATAACTTTTGAGATGAGAGATTTGAAACAATAAAATATATCGATGTGGATATAGATGTCGATTAATTATTTATATATAATATATACATAATGTGCTTATAATAATTTATAATTTATAGTGAAAGTAGCGTGTATAAAATACCAATAAAAAATTGAAAAATTTGCAATAATATAAATCTAAATTTTTTATTATTTTTTTTTAATATCTACTGTAAATCTGCTGAAATAATACTTAAAACATAATATTAAAATGATATATTAATGAATTTGTAATATTTTGTATTGCAGAATATAACATGAACCCATATGCTAAGCGATATATATCGTATACATAGCTTTTTGATAACTTATAAATATACCAAGTTTCAGTATGGCAAGCACTAACTCGACAATCCTGGTCACACTGAACAGGAGCAAAGTGAAATTCCTAAAGAACGAATAGCTAAAAATGCATTAAATTGTCATATAACGATGCGTTCTCGCTTTGCAGCCAAGTTTAGGTTGTCACTAAAAATCTCTACCATTAAACAAAAATATAGTAAAAAAGTGAAAAAAATGAAAAACGTTAAGCGTGACACAAAAGATCGAGATAATTCTCAAATAGAAAAAGAAGCTGATGAATCAAATGAGAATGAGAGTGAAAATGTGATGAAGAATGAGTATGAGAATGACAATGACTATGATAATGACAATGACAGTGACAGTGACAATGACAATGCCCATGCCAATGAGAATGGCAATGACAATAACAACAACAACAATGACAATGACAATGATAATAACAATGAGGATAAGAATGAGAATGAAATAAATGAGATCACTAACTGTAGTATTAGTGCTGAGGTGGAGGGTGACAAAGTCAACATGCAACCGCCCATTTCGGATTTCGACATAATCAGCATCTATGCGGATATATCAAAGTTGAGCGTTATAGAGCGCTATCTGAATATGTTATATCGGTAAGTCCGCTGTGATATATTTATATGCATGTAATTTTTTAAAACACCTTTACAATATATCCCTTACAGTCCCTCCACTTGCTTTATGCGCTTGAACTGCTACTTTAAGCTCTCTGAACTGGAATGCTTTTTGGCGGACACACTCTATGAGCCGGAAAAGCACACGGCCCTGTTCATACGGCACACGGAGCCGCCGTGCAGCCTACGACTCTACGATAATGGCCACATCTGCTGCCAGGCCTATTCGTACAAAAGCGCTGCTCTGGGCATACATCGTTTCATTGATACCATGGAGCATCTGGGCTATTCGCCCGTGTTTCAGAATCCCCGATTCAATGTGGTCAATGCGACGTTCTGTATGCCGTTCGGGATCGATTTGACAATCCTGTGCATAGAGTACTGTGAGGACTGCGACTACATGCCAGAAGCACACCCATATCTAATATTCAAGATGCGCAACTCATCCACTAAGCTGGCCATCTTTAACAACGGCTGTGTCTACGTGATGTTATCGTCGACGCCGCGCCACACCCAGCAGGCAATCGCCTATATAATGCCCATTCTGTTCCGGCATAAAGATACTGAAAAACCTGAGGATCCAGAGCTGCGTATCGGCGACATTAATTTCAAATTGCTCTGGGAAAATGAATTCCAGAGGCAATACCAAAACTCTGTCAACTATTCCAGATGAGCAACAATGTTGATGTTAGCTCTTTTCCCACAACTTCTTCTTCTTATTGTTTCTCTTGTTGTTGGCCAACTTTTATTTTTGATACATGAATATAAAACTTTCTATATCCGGTATATGCTCATAAATGTCGAAATGCACCGCCCGGAGTAGAGGAAACTTTTTTTGGCTTAGTTATTTAAATGACAAGAGCCGTTGCGCCAACACACACGCAAATTATTTAAATATGTACATAGCTAATTCCAAGACAAAACAAAGAAAAATATTAAAAGCTTAAACTCAAACTAAATAAAAATATGTTTGTATATATACATACGTATGTATGTGAACAATGTACATATATATCTTATGTTTTAAGCGTACATCTATTAAAAATGGAAAAACATGTATACACATACATATATTTAGGGTTAATATAAATGTATAAAACAAGACACTGACAGATTGGCTGCCTATATGAGAGATATCTCATCTATTTTGATAGAAAGAGGTCGATGTGATCATACCCATATATATGTACAAACATACATATGTATATATAGCAGCATATTCGATAGAGACGAGGCAACATTTATGTCAATTGAGCACAGAGTCTAAGGGATGCCTAGCTTAGAGCTTCCCATTAAAGCGCATCAGAGTTTTTTATTTTTACCTGCAATGTCAGTTGTTTTTCACAAGTCATTAGCTCCATTTGCATACACACACACACATGTATTTATAGAAATGTCAACCCATTTTAGGGGGTTGCGGTGCACAAACACTAAAAATCACTCACAAATTTACAAATTTACAATGTAAATGCGAGCTGCAGCTCATCGAAGTCCATGTTTGCATTTGCCAGACATAAAAATGAATGTGACGGGAGGAAGTTGGGATTGAGGTTAGCGAAAAGCCATCAGAAGGTCGAATCGCAACGTAAATGTGTGAAATGAAATTTGAAACTGTCGTTCGTTTCGTTTCAGCTGCTGTCCATTTCAAACCTATTGCATTTGAATAGTTTTTTGTCTGCGTGCAAAAACAATTCAGTGTCATATTTGTGAGTCGCCCTCTCTCGCTCTATCTCTCTTTGTATATGTGTTTCGCAAACACACACGCACACACACACACACACACACATCGCCTACGCTCATAGCGATATTGCTGCAGCGGTTGCCATATAAGCGGATAATTTTCAATATTTTTGTTTGCAATTGTTGGTCGCATCCAATGGGACTTTTCCTGCTTTTGTTTGTATGAAAACATTTTTGGCCGTTGACGGCTTTTCGCGTGTTTTTCGCTCTGTTAGAGTAGCTTGTGGGCTGTTGGGATTACTCATTAGAGCCGTTTGACTGTGCGTATGGGAAGTAGGAATTATTGAATGGGAAGAGCATGACTAAGAGTTATCCTAAATTGAAAATATTTGTATTTAATTCATTTAATGATTTACAAAAGAAATAAATTTTCTTTTTAGCTATTACAGGGAATAAAATGTTCCAAGGCTTATTCGTATCGATAGTAAGGGGTCAATAGACATCGTTGCTGAGAAGTATGATCCCTATTAAAAATATTTACCATCGTATTAGCTAGCATTGAATTTTCTTTAGATTTACTTTATAATAACTTGGAGTGGCTCAGCAAAACTCTTGTTTTTAATGAAATCGTTACAATTTTTTATGAAAATATTTGCGCTCAAAGCAAATTAACTATGAAATCTGCTCATTTAAATTGCATGCACAGGAATGTAAAGCTCCAAATGCAAAATATAATTAATATTATTATGGAGTGTGGGTGCGCTGGAGTGACCATGCCTTCTACTTCTTTTTGTTGCTTTTGTTGTTGTTGGTTGGCTGAGGATTCCTGCAGCTGCTTTCTTGTTATTGGAAAGGGGCACACATTTGTGTGTGTGTGTGTCTGCATTTTCATAATTTCTGCACAACAAAAAGCAAAGACCACGACAATAGCGCAAAAGGGACGAAACGAACGCAGCAAATTCCAAAGCTCTGGAATTTATGCAGCAAATATTAACTTACCACACAGACGCACACACACACACACACACACACACACAGACGCACACACATGCACACTCATAAATTGTGTTCAAAATTTCTCATGCAATTCATGTAAAAGGCAGCACAGAGAACGAGAACGAGAGCGAGAGAGAGAGAGCGCACAAGAAGTGTGGAAGAGAGTGGGCAGGAGGAAGGACGCAACAGCCGCTGCCCAATTTGTGCATGGGCCAGCAAGAACTGACAACAAAACTCATTAGCAGAAGCGGCGACCGTGACCGAGACGGCAAGTATGCCGTTAGAATTGTGGGCATGGGCGTGCAGCTGTCTGCTGGGAATTGAAGGGGCCAGCGACAGGGCAGCAGAGTGCTGCTGCTGGTCAACCGAAGCCAAAACGCAGCATGCACTTCCGTTTCTGAAAGTTTGCGCTATTTTATTCATATTTTTACTGGGCCGCTGCTGCACTTTATCTTTCTGCGGCGGTCTTAGTTGGCGAAATTGTGTGCAACCACGAAAATCTAATAAGCGCGCAAATTTGTTGACATTGCGCAAATGTTTTTTACGAGCAGCGCTCGCAAGTCCAGCAGCCTAAGACGAAAAAACTTAGTAGACCGCTCCCGTGCCCACTATACCCCCTCGCTACATTATGTTCCTCTCTCTGGTCACTGGCTACCGCAAATGTCCATTAAAGAAGTCGAAAGTCGCACTTAAAGCGCAACGGATGAAGCGAAGTGCAATGACAAAGAGCAAACGAGGCAGAGGGAGGCGACAAAGTGCAAATGTGTGCGAGAGCGGGACGGAGCTAGTGAGCGAACTTGACGTTTTTGACTTTGCTAAGTCGCGCGCGATGTTGCGTTAACTTTTTGGCTTTTGCGCTCTGCAGACACAAGGAAGGCGAAAGAAGTGAACGAAAGCTCCCATCACAGTCTGTCAGGTAGCACAACAAAGATGGCGTCGGAGCGGTGCTGCCAGACCGTCAGCTGATATGTCAGCGGATAGCCACAGTCGAGACAAGACAATTTCATTAACCGCGGCGGCCAGCAAGCACATTAAGTCGAACGAGCAGACTTGCCTTTGATTCTTTATCAGCCGAATGCCTGCATGCATGCATACACACATACATACATATATATGCATACTGGATGCTGCATAATGGACGCGTAAAGTTTTTTAATTATTTTTGTGGTCTTAAATTGCATTTCTGGTGAATCTGTGCAGCGAAAGGACGAAGGACACGATGTCCGTGTGAGAAGTACGACCACAAAAGCGCCGACTTTATCAGTGCCAGGCAATTGTCATCTGAGCTGGGTGGCTCAAGAGAGAAAGAGAGAGAGAGAGAGGCAGACAGAGAGATGGAGAGCAGAGCAATGCAGCGCATTCATTTAAGCAAAAGTGCAATAACATGTTATTTTATTTAAAGTTTTCTTCTCTTTTTTTAACCACGCCACTTTTCGCTTTTGCCCTTTCATGTTGGCCGTTAACAGCAAGCGGCTTTAAAGCATTCCAGCCTTATTACGCAATTACAAGTGAATTGACACACAGAGCGCACACTTCTCTTTGCCTTTGCATTTATTCTTCCTGATTTTATTGAGGCAAATATACGAATAATTGAAATTACATACTGGTCGCTCGTTCCACCAGGCAATATATCGTATAAAAAATCATGAGTAATTGGTATGTATACCATTTGGAAAATATGCATACATAAATATACGTTGATTGCAATTGAGGCTTACTCATATGAATATTGATAAATGTCAAGAGGAAATCCATTTAAGTTCGTTTTTCAACTTTAAGTTGGCAACTGATCAATTCTGGTGGGAGTGGGAGACTACGAGATGCTCTGAGAAATGTACAGAAAGCGCAGATTATGCGGTGAGTTGGCAGAGCTTTAGCTGTGGTGAGCGGTTGGGTAAATATATATATGTAGTATATATATGATTGATTCGACATTTATTTCCATTTGGCTATCTACCTCGTATGTATATATGCATATATAAAAAATATATAAATTACTTGCTTTACGAGTTGTTGAAGTACTTAACTTATTGCCAACTTTTCCCACTGAATCAAAAACCAATTGCAACTCCTTTAATTAAATATTTATTATGTAATTAGCCTCGCACAGAGTATAAAGTTTTGCTGGCGTTCCACTTGCAAATCAATTAGCTGATATGTTTGCCTACAACAGAAAAGAGACGAGTGGAAATTGTATGAAGAAAAGCTAGTGGAAAATTTTTGCCACCGCCTGTCAAAAGTCGTTGCAAGCCCCAAAAAACTTTGCCCGTTCATGCATTTTATTTAACACTCGACCAAAGGCAAACGGCATACGCCCTCCAAACATGGCAAGTGAAGTTGTTACGAAAGCTCACATCAATTTTAGCCAAAAAAAGTGGGTTAGGGATGCCAAGCATGCATATATGTATATATATATATATAGACTACCAACACGATTTCAATTTGCCTCGTTGATAAACGGCTGAGGAATTAATTCAGCCGACTCATACTAAATTCCTCACATTTTTTTACTTTTATCTGTATTTGAGGTAAAAATATTTTCACTTTTTAGCTCTGATTTCACATACACTCATGCATACATGCTCACATGTGTACATGCCTACATACATACGTGTATATTTATGTATGCAAAAGCAAAGTTGACTTTCTTTTGACTGTGCCTGGCACCGTCGTCTTCGTCTTCGTCGTCTGCGCTGGCCACGCCCCCTCATGAGCGCCCCCCAACTCGCCCCAGTCATGTGACTTAACTGTACTAAATAGTTTCTCACGTGACTCCTGCACATAAAAAATGGCTTTATTGCTGCACACGTATTCATTAATGGCAGCAATGAACTCACATGTGAATCGAGTGGGTCGAGCTGGGCCAGCTTCAAGAATGCCAGCTTAGGTTGCAGCGTGAGCTAAAGGGCTCTCCTAGCCACCCACAAACACAAACACACACACACACACACACACACACACACACATAAACTGTATTGTTTGTTGCAACTATATTGTTGCTTGGCTGCACACAGAAAATGGTTGCAAGTCGTCTGCACAGGAAGTGCATATTAATTGTGAAAATTTGTACAGCTATTTCTTCGAAAATAGTTGGCTGCCGCTGTTGCTGTTGTTGTTGTTGTTGTTGTGTCAGGTAGCGAGTGGCTTACCTGGTGTAAATCCATGGCTCGACTCGGTTGCAGTGCCAAAAAGTGGAGCATGATTGCAGCACTTGAGCAGCTAGTC